AGGGATCAAGAAGTTGAGTAAGATCTTATATTTTTGCTTTTTGGAAGAAGTTGTGACCGTGCTTGAAGCCATACAGAATTTGGTAAGAACAGTTTGTAGGGCGAGATGGTGTCTATTAGCATTCATATCTCATTCATATCAAATCAATCGTATTGATTTTAGCAACACAGAGTTTACAAAGCGAAACAATTATTGGTAAATTCTGTGTCAGGTGTTTGTCAGATGGTGCTCAATTAGTGAGTTTAGGGTAGGCAATCTGCTGTGATACCATGCAAATGAATGAATGCCTTGAACGCCCTATCCACCTTGAATCCCTGGTGGTAGGGATATTAAAACTCAAGCCCATAGCTTGCAGCATTGGCACCTAAGTCTAGATTGTGTTGTGTAACGTCAAGCTGCCTCGTTGGAGTTGTGAGACTCACAAGCCGCTTCAGACTTGTCAAGCAAGTCGAGTGCCAATTAGAAACAATATCACTACATACAACGTTTTGATCTGCCAATACCCGTTTTTCGAGACAAAGAGATAGCAACAGAAAGAACAACCAAAAACTAACACGATTACCACTTCAATATGGAATCATCACAAGTTTGGACCGGGATCTTGGATGGAATCATCAAAGGAGTAACGCCACAGCGCCACCAAACGGTGTGAGTGGCTGGTGGAATGCCCCGCCGCCTTCCCCAGGCACCTAAGCTCCAGTGACGTGTGCCGCCTATCACTAAAACATCTGAAGCTTCCAACTACAGTGCTGATTTCAGCTCGATCTTGATTCCACATCAACCTTCTACCCATATCACCTCAATCCTCTCTTTTACTTGTCGCGAACACACCGGAGCTTATAAAAAGAGGAAGAAAACCTTACATTTCCCCATTATGGCTTGCCAGCATCTCGACTTGATCGGTACGTGAATCTTCAAAATCGACCCCGCCATTTGATCGACCACGAGTCATGATAGTTGCGACAAGCTCGCGGTCGACCTCAGCAGGACTTTGTAGACTGACTATACTTCAGGGCTGACACCCCCTAACCCTTCGCAGTCCGTCTATCGCGAAGACTGTACTCAATGTTTCGACTCCATCGTAAGAATCCCACTTGCTGAGCGCCAAGCCCTTGAAATCCTCAAAGCTTAGCTTACTGACCAAACTGAACAGGATGATCCCGCTGGACTCGATGTCTGCCTCCAGTGCTTCAACGGAGGATGCGCTGGCGACCGTAACCATGATAAACTTCACTATGCGCTGACCCAACATCCCCTCGCTCTAAACATCCGCCGCACAAGAAAGATTGTCGAACGAGACGAACCCCCCGCCAAGATGTCCAAGCTAGCCATCGCCGCTGAAACTGAGGAGGACCGATATGATACAGCGCTGACTGTCAAGTGCCTCGACTGTAACACCGAACTCGACCGAACGCATCCCAAGCTCGCACCTATGGTTGACGGTATTCTCAAGGCGAACACATTTTCTCGAAAGGAAGAGGTCAAGGCATGGGAACAGGAGCTGACCAGCTGCGAGCATATCTTAATGATGCAACAAGCGCCTGCTAAGAAAATCGAGCAAAACGACTTGAGTCACTGCTACGCTTGCGACCTAGCAGAGAACCTTTGGCTGTGTATTGAGTGTGGCAACTTAGGATGTGGCCGTAAGCAGATGGGTGGCGTCGACGGAAACTCGCATGCTCTTGCTCACGCCAACGAGTCCGGTCATGGTGTTGCTGTGAAGCTTGGATCTATCACACCTGAGGGAACCGCCGATATTTACTGTTACAAGTGTGACGACGAACGAGTGGACGACAACCTGGGCGAGCACTTGAACCACTGGGGCATCGTATTGGCGGAGCGTCAGAAGACGGAAAAGAGCTTGACTGAGATGCAGATTGAGCAGAATCTCAAGTGGGATTTCAGCATGACAACGGAAGACGGCAAGGAGCTCAAGCCTCTGTTTGGCCCTGGTCTTACTGGGTTGAAGAACCTCGGAAACAGCTGCTACCTCGCCAGTATCATCCAGTGCTTGTTTGACATGCCTTCTTTCCAAGAGAGATATTTCCGACCCAATGACGACCTGCCCATCGTCCCCGAACCCGCTGCGGATATTGAAACCCAGCTCCGAAAGACAGCCGATGGACTTTTGTCTGGACGATACTCTAAACCTGATTCTGATGTTCCTGCAGAGGGAATCACACATCAGAAGGGTCTTGCGCCAGCCATGCTCAAGCACCTCATCGGTCGAGGACATGAAGAGTTTTCTACAATGCGACAGCAGGACGCTCTCGAATTTCTTCAGCATCTATTAAAGCTCATCACTCGATCTCCCCACCCCGATGGAAAGGACCCTACACAACCCTTCCGATTTGTTCTCGAACAAAGACTCCAATGTCTGGGATGCCACAAGGTGCGATATAGCAGCAACGAGCAAGACAACATTTTCATCGACGTCCCCCTAGAAAAGCTTCCCCGTGAGGAGGGTTCGGACGGCCCAGATGCTTACAAGCCCGTGTCACTCAAGGAGTGTCTGGATAACTTCACAGGAGCTGAGAAGGTAGAGTTGACTTGCTCTGCTTGCGGAAGCAAGGATGGTTTCACCAAGCGATCGTTGTTCAAGACATTCCCCGATACCCTAGTCGTCAACGCACGAAAGATGACTGTCGTCAACTGGGTTCCTATCAAGGTTGATGTTCCTGTTCTTGTACCGGACGAGCCCTTCAACCTGGACGAATATCTATCCAAGGGACTGCAGCCCGGAGAGGAACAACTGCCAGACGAGCCTGAGGTTAAAGCTCCCGCTTTCGAACCTGATGCTGCCGCCCTGGCTCAACTCGAAGCCATGGGCTTCCCCCGCAACCGTTGCGAGCGTGCTCTTCACGCTACTGGAAACTCTGACGCCAACGCCGCGATGGAATGGTTATTCGGACACATGGAGGACCCTGACATTGATGCGCCCCTTGATCTTGGTGCTCAAAGTGGTGGCGCCAACACCGCTGACCCTGAGAAAATCGAGATGCTCGGGGCTATGGGTTTCGGTGCCCCTCAAGCCAAGAAGGCACTGAAGGAAACAGGTGGCGATGTTGAGCGGGCTGTTGAGTGGCTGTTCAGCCATCCTGACGACCAAGGAACATTTGACGATGATGCTCCCGCCGAAGCAGCTGCTCCTAAGGAACTTGCTGGAAGTGCTGATTTGCCCGCGACTTTCCAACTTCGATCAATCGTGTGCCATAAGGGCACAAGTATCCATGCTGGGTAAGTATTCCTACGCAATTGCAGCACATAGGCATGCTAACTAGTTTCCAGGCATTACGTTGCTTTCATCCGCAAGGCTTTGGGAGATGCCGACGTTTCAACTTGGGTGCTCTTCAACGATGAGAAGGTCGTTGAAGCTCATGATGTTGATGAGATGCGTAAGTTTGCGTATGTGTACTTTTTCAAGCGAGTCTAGGTAGTCGAGGCTATCGACTGTATAGCAATGGGTGAGGCGCAGTTGAATTTGAAGATAGGTTTGGTTGCATGAGACGGTGAATGGCGCGAGGCTGAAGAGGTGATGGCAGCTATGTCTACGCTGTCATGATTTGGTATCTGGGCATTAGAAAAGCAGAACGAGACACATCATGTAGAAGCGACGGGGTATTATGTCTGCGAAGATTAGATAACAAAATATCCTGATACGTATCGTACAAATCCATCATGACCGTTGAATATTGAATATGGACAAACAAAGTCCCCAAGGCGCCTCGTAACGCCTCTCAAGATAAATCATGCCTGAGTTATGCCGAAATCCACCAAAAGCAACTCAACCATCTCTTTCCCTCCATTATACACTCAAAATCCTTCAGCTCAATCGGTAAATCGATAGCTGACCAACGTATCAACACGGTGATTCGCCGTGCTGAATCCCCTCAGTTGCACCTTTTCGCCATTCTCAATCTCCTTCGCATCCGAATCACCCCACTCAACAGGGACCTCACTATCCGCATCAGCGTAAACGAGGACGTTGAATGTGCAATCACCGCTGAGCTGAGGGAGGAACGTAACAGAAGCGGTGATTTGTCGAAAAATAGCTGCGATCTCGGCTTGGATTTCTGTTTCTGTCTTTTCGGGGGCTGTGGGCGCGGAACCAGCGGGAGCGGCGTTTTCTTGGTCTTTGGAGGAGGACTTGGAGGACTTGGATTTCTTGACGGGTTGGAAAATTTGGACCTGTTGATGTTAGAGAGGTTGTAACGAGAGGGAGGGTTGGAAGGTCGTACGTCGAATTGCCAGCGCTCGACGTGCTCGCCTGTGTCTTTGTCTGTGATGACGATGACGAGCTTGGAGATCTTGCCGCCGACCATCCATTTGTCGAGTTGGGACATGATCTTTTTGATGTAGGCTTTTACTTGGTCATCGGCCGAGACTGGATGGTGTTAGTCGCGAGGTTCGGTCGCCGTGAAGGGAAGGGCCGCGGGCTTACCCAGCATGTTGAGGCCATATTTCTTGACGCTGGTAATTGTCAGTTGATGCTCGAGAGAGTCTGTCGCAACAAACGTACACTGTAAAGTCCTCTGCAGGATAGACACCTCGTTGGAAGCTATCATATCATTAACAAACATCGCCGACCGATAAAGCGTAGGTTCGCGTACAGAATGCTGTGAATAGAATATTGAAACTGTAAACCCAACGGTTAGCAAAACTCTCGCCCAAGTAGGAAATCAGCTTGTTCCAACGTACAAATTCAGCGACAAGACGAGCGCTGCCCTTGAGGGAGAGTTTATGGACCTTGGACTTATCCTTGTCCTTGCTCTTGGAAGCTTCCTTTGACGACATTTTGGGCACTACTGGGATATCAATTGGAATGAAGGGTACGTGCTGGCGATTGTGACGGGTTGAGTTGAGTTCGTGAATTGGTGGTTTTGTTTACTTTGCGGTTGCGGGGTGGAAGTGGAAGGGGTCTCAAGGGTCTGTGCGGCGGGGTTCACCGAGGTCACCGAGCTTCACCTTGATATGGCGACAAAGATATATTTATTGTCAATTTACCAACGCGAGAAATGAACTCCTTGTGGCCACTGAATCTGGGTTTGGTCCTCCTCTGCCGTATTTGAACAGTGGCTATTGTGATCGTTGTAATAGTCATAGTAATCATCGTAGTCGTACTGAGGTTCTTCCTCATCATTCTGGTCAGCAGGGTACATATAATAATATCCTATGACCTGAGAAGAGCTGCTACTTGATGTGGTCGATGTAGATGTTGATGTCGACGAAGACGAAGTGGAAGTTGAAGGAGGTCTGCGTCGCCTTCGTCCTCCCGGCATATCCTTGGCTCCGCTGGCATAAACAGCCCAAGATCGTAGGAATATTCCAATAGTGAGCATCAAGGGCAGTAATTGTGCGACTGTACTAAATTCGTTAACGCCTTGGATGTGGTTCCACTTAATGGGAAGCTCGATCGATAGAACCAGAAGTGTAAAGACGATGACACCAGATGTTGCGCGCAGTATTTTGAGTCGCCAGATATTTCTCGACCTGAACATGTTCAGTCATGCAATTGAGTAGCTTGGAACGATCTCACCTCGCTCTCCTATGTCGTGAACTCGATCTGGTGATGGTGCAACAAGCATTCAAAAAGATGAACCCGCCAATGCCGACAAGGATCCCAATGAAGAAAATCGAGCCAGCTGTGGTATACCCCTGACTTTCGAGACTGACCTTGCCAAATAGGAATACCAGGTCACGGCAATCACGGCGCAGTTGAGGAAGAAAAGACGTAAAGTACCATGTTCCAATCGACACGTTGGCTGAGAGGACCGTCAGACTCATGAGATGGTAGAAATGTCCATGTTTCTCCTTTGAGAGTTGGAATGGGTTAAGGTGAGCTTGGCATCTTGTGACAATACGCCATATGTATAATGGGATTTGGAACAGGAAGAAACCCATGGCTAGAAGAAGTAAAAGGCATATATCGAGTGGCTCAAGTGAGTTGTAAGCGACTCCAATGACAAGAGATATAGATGCGCCTGCTGAAGAAAACAAACTGATAAACCGCAAATCTGCGAGGTTCTCTTCAGAGAGGTATTCAATGAGAAGAGAGCCAAGCCATTGCGCGTAAAAGGCGGCTCGAATACCGACTCCGTAGACATCCGAGCGGCCCTGGAGAGAACAAAGCGGCTCACTCCTAGTATTCATGGTGAAGTCTCATGGGCCACTGAGGAGATCAATGCGAAACATAAGGAACACAGTTCATTATTATGGTGACTGGGGTCCGGCGCACACTTGTATGCCATATACCATTCAAACACCCTTTTGGAACTCTCGAATAGTCATCTAAAGACTAAGACAGACATACTAGTCAAGCTCTCACAACCGACGCCCGAGGCGATCTTGAAGTAGTCCAACAGAGACTATGAAGCTTTTGGCAAAGAGGAGGACAAGCGATACTTCATGACTTCTCTAGGACCAAATAACAAACCCAGATGTCATATAAACACAGGCGATCCAATCATGACTCTGTTACATCGCCCGGTACGTGAGGCATCGAAAGAACTTCCATCTCAGTTTGACAGAACCGAACGGCAACTTGCATTTTGATAGGTCTTGTGACAGCACTGTAGGTAATACTTGTAGCATCCGGGCACCACCTTGGAAGGGAGCATACACGATCGTTACGCTTATGAGGCTTGGGATGTTGTAAATCGTCTAACTGAAGGGTTGAAAAGCGAGGACACAACAGGGCACACGTGTCGCCGACTACTTGAACGGTGAACCCAACTCGGTGACTACAACACAAGCATTGTGATCGTACAACCATTAGTTCAATTTCACATCATGCAATACTGTTAACGCATAATATGGGGAGTGGTTTTGAAGTGTCTTGGAAGAAACGGTTCAATTCAGGGTCCTCCGATAAAGGAAGTTGGGTACGTACCGTCCCGGGGACAACGGAAAGTGGGTCTAAAACCGAAGGCGAACGGTTTTTGTCTTATCGATAAGAGATTTTTTGCGCTCGCTCTGTAAAACATCCCACCCATTTTTACGTCGCAATTTGTTCCCAGCCATTCTGCGATACCCTCGACCGCCATTCGTACAACCTTCTCCCCGGTCGAATATCACATATAATCTCTCAAAATGGCTGCTACAAAGCATCTCCTCGCTGATAGCGAGGATGCCGTCGTCGACCGACCCTCCAAGAAGACCAAGGTCACCAACGACGAGAAGGCTCGTCTAAAGAAGGAGCGCAAGGAGAAGAAGAAGGACAAGAAGCGCAAGACTGAAGAGCAGGAGACTCCTGCCGACAAGACTGGCGATTCCGAAGCTGAGCGTGCTGAGCGCAAGAAGGCTAAGAAGGCCAAGAAGAAGGCCAAGAAGGCTAAGGCCGCTGAGGAGTCTGCCGAGACTACTGAAGCTGTCGAGGAGGCACCTAAGGAGAAGAAGTCTAAGAAGGAGAAGAAGGCCAAGGTCACTTATGAATCTTCTGACGACGGTTCTTCTGATGCTGCTTACGTCCAGACCGCAAGCCTCTCCAACGTTTCTCAAGCCCAGATTGACGAATTCCTCTCCAAGAACCAGATCACCATCACCGACCCCAAGACCGAGACCGTCACTCTTCGCCCCGTTCTGGAATTCCACCAACTCCCCGCCACAAACCTCCTCGAGAAGAAGCCCTCGCCATTCGCCAACTACAAGGCCCCTACACCTATCCAGTCCGCTTCATGGCCCTTCACCCTTTCTGGACGCGATGTCATTGGTGTCGCTGAGACAGGATCTGGAAAGACCATGGCTTTCGCTCTTCCCTGTGTTGAGGCTGTTTCTGAGATCAAGTACAAGGGCACCAAGGCCGTTATTGTTTCGCCTACACGAGAACTTGCCATGCAGACCTATGAGCAGATGGCTTCCGTGGCTGCGCTGAACAAGCTCAAGTGTATGTGTCTGTATGGTGGCGCTTCCAAGGATGATCAGCGAAATCAACTCCGATGTGGCGCTGACATTATTGTCGCTACCCCTGGTCGTCTTAAGGACTTCATGTCTGATGGAACTGTTGATCTGAGCCAAGTTACTTTCGCCGTTCTTGACGAGGCTGATCGTATGCTTGATAAGGGTTTCGAGGAGGATATTAAGCAGATCCTGGGTGCCTGCCTTCCTCGCGAGAAGCGCCAGACACTCATGTTCACAGCTACATGGCCTCAATCCGTCCAGGCCCTTGCCTCTTCCTTCATGGTCAGCCCCGTAAAGATTGCTATTGGATCTGGCGGTAAGGAGACAGCCGATGGATCTGTTGAGCTGCAAGCCAACACAAGAATTACACAGCGAGTTGAGGTTCTTGAGCCCAGAGACAAGGAGCACCGTCTGTTCCAGCTTCTGAAGGAGCACCAGCAGGGTAAGCACAAGAACGACCGTATCTTGGTCTTCTGTCTGTACAAGAAGGAGGCTACACGTGTGGAGAATACCTTGGCCCGCAAGGGTATTCGTGTCGGTGGTATTCACGGTGATCTGCGACAGGAGCAGCGAACAAGGAGTCTTGAGGCTTTCAAGTCTGGAGCCACTCCTGTTCTCGTTGCTACTGATGTTGCTGCTCGTGGTCTTGATATCCCCGAGGTTAAGCTTGTTATCAACGTTACAGTATGTCCAACCCAAATCGCTACCCAGCGTTCGCTAATTTTTTTAGTTCCCCTTGACCATTGAGGACTACGTCCACCGCATTGGCCGAACTGGCCGTGCCGGTAAGACTGGTGAGGCCATCACCTTCTTTACCGTTGAGGATAAGTCGCACTCTGGCTCGTAAGTACTTCATATATCATCCGCAAATGAATACATACTTACACATTTAGACTCGTCAACATTCTCCGAGGTGCCAACCAGCCCGTACCCGAAGATCTTCTCAAGTTCGGTACCACCGTTAAGAAGAAGGCTCACGACATGTACGGCGCTTTCTTCAAGGATGTCGACATGAACGCCAAGTCGACCAAGATCACATTTGATTAAGAGAATTACAACTATTATGAGGAGCACTATTGTTTTGCGGCTTTGCGACCGCGGACCGAGTTTAGACACTCGAGGATAAAATGGCGCTCGAGGACCAGGCTGCGATGATTAGATGTTGTTTTCAAAAAGTTTGCTTTTGGAATTTTGTAGACGTACATTAGAAGCAATAATGGGATAGCGGAGCCAGCGATCTTGACGAGAGATTTGATTGGTTGATCTGCGTTGTCTACGACTTTTAGTTGCTTGAGGAGGATAGCTGTAGCGATTGAGACGCCGAGAGTGCTCTCGGGAATAAGAGATTTGATCTTGAAGTCGGTTCCGTTTCTTTTGAAGAAACGCTTGATGAATGCTCCGCTCCAGATGATGCGACACCCCATGTTGATGATGTTGGCTAGTACGAGACCGATAGCACCGAGAGGGTAGATTCTCATGAAGAGGAAAGCAGAGGCTGCAAAGATGACAGAGAATGCGCCCATCCAAACAGACTGGATGTGGACTTCGGCTTCAGTAGCAACTGACGCCACGAATGATTCTGTGAGACCATTAAGGCCCATGAAGGGAATGTAGAAACAGTACGCTGCAAGCACATCACCTGCCCCTGAGCCAGCCCACTGCTTGCCTGCCACAATAGCCAGAAGAGGCGGAGCAGCAAAAGGTCCAAGACTGATGATAACTGAAGCCAAAAGGATGTACAGGCGAAGAATAGTTTGTAGGTTCTGCTTCGCTTCTGTCACTTCCTGAACTGGCTTGCCGCCTGGTTTGACAGGTGTTACAGATGACAGCAAGCGAGAGAAGTAGCTTCGGCTACTCTCTTCAACAGGCTGGAAGAGAAGACGAGCAAGGAGACTGCCGTAGTTGTTTGCGAGAGCATATGCGCCTTGGACGCTCGCGGATGCGAGAAAGGAGATGAGGAATGTGTCGCCTTGAGTGAGAAGGTGCTTGACCACGCTCTGGGCCATCATGCTTCCCGCGAGACCGATGGTTGGCCTATCAAACAAGGAGGCCCAGAAGCGATTGTCCTTTGAGGTGATTGTTTTGGGGAGTAGTGAGAAGCCGATTGATGAGGCGAGGCGATATCCTGAGATTAGGTAGACGAGGAGTAGTGAGACACCATAGGTAATCTGTCCAAGGGCGAAAGGCAGGACCCCGATATCATTGTTCTTGGATGCCCAGACAGCAGATCCAAACACAACGATACATCTCAAAAACGTAGCAATCGACTCTGCAGCAGCTCGTGTTCCAAACTGCAGCCTCGTCTGCATGAGAACAAAGCACGGCTCTGACAACAACTCCACCATAGCCGCAAACCCATAAAGACACAGCGACTCAACCAAATACGGCGTAGCAAGCGTAATATCATTCGCATACGCAAGATACATCCACCCCAACCCAAGACTGACAAAACTCCCCAGTCCAATAGCGAGATATCCCAGGTTCACCACAGCTTGACTCTCCTCTTTAGCCTGCGAACCCGAGTCTCGTCGTTGAATAGCAACACGAAGGCTTTCGCGTGCAAAAAAGAGAACTGAGAGGTAGTACACTTCGAGTTGAGTTGAAAGACCTAGGAGCGGTGCTGTGAGATACCGCAGGAGGAGTTGGTTGGCGATGAAGGTTATGAGGCGGGAGGCGAGTTGGAGGATGATGAGGAGGGAGGCGCCTTTAATCATTGAGGGCGCTGGGGGGCTTTCTTTTTCAGTGGAGGGGGGCATTTTGGCGGTTGGGGAGAAATGAGCGACTGAGGGTGGAGGAGGTGAGATGAGATGAGGTTGAAGATGAAGATATCGCGGGTTGTTTGACACGTGTTGATGGAGATGGGGATGTCTCAGTGCTTCAGTGGGTTACAGTGGGTGCTGGGGGTGCGGGAGTGCTAATGCAGGTCGGGACCCGCCTGGGAGTTTTTCTCCTGAGCATCCCGCAAGGTATAGGGTCAGAAAGCAGACTCTACAGTAAGGTAATGATGAATGGATGTGATACCGAGTACTAATATCGATCTGTACCAAAACAATTATTGCATATCACGTAAGGTTTCATATCGACAGATATTATATGAACAGAAGTAATAAATTCATGGATATCAGCTAGTTATTTATCTCATCTCATAATCGTAGTCTACCGACAGCAGAACTTCCAAATCGGGTAATCCAACCAACCCCTTCATCATCAATCTATACTATTACAAGAGCCTATTCTTTAGACATCATTCTTCTCAGTGTGAGAAACCTCGCCCTGCTCGTGGCCTTCGTTGAACATCTTGCCACCAGCGCCAGCAACGCTGTTACGGTGCTGCCAAGTCTCCTGAGGCTTCCAGCCAAGGGACTTTCGGGCAACGCTAACCTCATCATAGAGCTGGTCAACCTCCTCGAGGGTTAGACCCTTGGTCTCGTAGATGAAGAAGTAGACGAAGGCGATGCACAGGAAACAGCAACCAAACCAGATGAAGAAGATCTTGGACTGAAGGTTGGCCTTGCCGGAACCGTAGTCGACGAGGTAGGGGGTGGAGTAGGCGATGGCCCAGTTGAAGAGCCAGTTGGTTGCGGTGGTCATAGAGAGGGACTTGGCTCGGGTCTGGAGAGGGAAGATCTCACCAGTGACGACCCAGGCCAGGGGACCCCATGTTGAGGCGAAGAAGAAGATGTAGATACAGACGAAAGAGACGGCAGCCCTCTGGCCAGCCAAGCTCTTGACGAAGATGACTCCAGCGCTGTCTTGGCCAGTGGAGAAGGTTCCGGACATGGCGACGATGAACTGAGAGACACACATGCCGACAGCACCCCAGAGGAGAAGAGGACGACGACCCCACTTGTCAATGGCGTACATTCCAGGGATAGTGGAAGCGACGTTGATGGCTGATGTGATCATGGAAATGGTGAAACCGCTGGAGATACCGGAGTTCTCGAAGTACTTGGTACCATAGTAGAACTGAAGTTTGTTAGTCATGTCTCATAACCACGAGGTAGTGAAGTGAGAACTTACGATGAAGTTGATACCAGTGAGCTGCTGCAGAGCCTGAAGAGCACAGCCAGTGAACTGGCGCTTGAGAATGGGAGGCTTGAAGCAGTCGATGTAAGAAGATGTTCCAAGGCTCATCTCATGGTCGTGGTTCGCCTTGATCTCGCTGAGCTCAGCCTGCACAGCAGGGTGATCAGGACTTAGACGGCGGATCTTGGAGAGAGCTTTAGAAGCATCATCGTGACGGTCTTTCTTGATGAGGAATCGAGGTGTTTCGGGGAGGATGATCATGCCACCGAAGAGGACGAGGGAGTAGGCGAACTGAACGGCGATGGGGATACGGTATGAGCCTGTGTCGTTTCGCTTGCCTGTCGCGTTGTTTACGATGGCGGCGAGCAGGAGACCGATTGTGATGGCCCATTGGTATGAACCGACGATGGCACCTCGAATCCACTTTGGTGCTGTCTCAGACTGGTACAGGGGAACTAAGGAAAGGCATGTTAGTTAGACCGAAACTCTGAAGTTGTCATGTGGTGAGTTGTAACTTACTAATAGCGGAGATTTGACCGACACCAAAACCGGCGAAGAAACGACCAGCCAGGAACATGGGGATAGCAGTAGCAGCAGTTTGGAGAGCGACGCCGAGGTTGAAGACCCAAGTGGCGATCATGAGACCGGGACGACGACCGATGTAGTCAGTCATGAAGGGAGAGGAGAGGGCGCCGAAGAATGTGCCGGCTGAGAGGATGGAGACGATGCTGGACTCTTGGCCGGTTGTGATGTTGGGGTTGCCCTTGGCGTCTGTGTAGCCGGTGCTGAAGAGGCGCTGCCAGTAGGGCATGGCCAGAATACCGGAGATGGTACCTGTGTCATAACTGCGATTGTTAACCTCACGATGATTCTTCATGTAAAGAGGAGGGCTGCTTACCCGTAGAGAACACCACCAAAGGCGACAAACAAGCCGATGGCGATAGCAGGCCATGCCTTGCCAGCCTCCTCGGGCTTGCTGAGGGATGCCCTTCGAATAGCGTTCATAATGAAGATCGACACTCAAAACAAGAGTGTACAATAAAGAACTAATAGTGTATAAACAAGTATGAAGTGTGAGTGATGATAGAACAGAAGAGCAAAAAACCAAGGCGGGAGATTGTCTCTTTTAAACCCCAAACAAGACATCATACCGGTAAACTTCTGTGTAGTATACTTGGACCAAAAAAACCCTCCTCTTGCGTAACATGACCTCTCCCACCCCCAGGAAGCTAAAAAGCTAAGCTGGGGAGCTAGCTATCCCACGGCTTGCCCGAGCTAGTGGAGTGCGGAGCAGCCGCACCATCACCTTACGATGGTGTAGTTTAAAAAAGAGAACTAAGCTGGGGGTGAGGAGGTCATGCGGTTCATTGGCTCAGTAAAGATCTGGTGTGGTTGGTAGTTGGCCTTTCCCCTCAACGAGTGTCGTCACTGGCGAGAGAGAATATAAACGCTGGCCGTGGACAGCGGCTTGAACTAAAGAGACGGGTAGATGGTGGCGTTTGTCCTATTCCTTATGATGATGTAGCTATAGCAAGAGATGGAGTGCGTTGCGACTATGTAAAACTATCTCGCCGTCTTGGGCTGCAGAACCCGTCAGAGCAAACAAGCTTCCCCAAACAGACTCCATCTTCCCCAGGTCCTGTTTTTCCTCGACCGGGCGCCCTCGTGCTTAAACGGACAGACTCAATCTCCACATCCAGGTAAATTGGAGTAGGTACATGCACTCTAAATAATCCAATCGCCTGGGCTGGGGTTGTAAGTTAAAGAGTGGATACCTTTCTCACCCCCGAGCCAAGAGCCGGGCCAGGCCGGCTCGGCGACGCAGATGCCGAAGAGCCCTATTACCATTTTTGGCAAGTTTGTTTGACTTATGTGAGTGAGCTTAGTTGATGATATCTTTTTGCCACGACAAGAAACTAGAGATGTTCAACGAAACGATCGAGTAATTTTCAATAGCAAAAAGCATTGATCTAGTCATGGTGTTTGTGAGGTGTTGAAGCAGCTGACAACCAAATTTCACTGGTGACGCTTTCGGAGCCGGCGGCTTGACGAGTAGCGCGCGCAAAGACCATCAACCACTTCGGCCCTATTGTGGAAGTCTCTCTTTTCGTTTCATGAGGGCATTCAGGCCCAACACATTTTTTTCTTCTTCACGTCTACTGACTACATACACTAATAATAACCCTCCGAGGGGCCTTAGCTCAGTTCAGTTCAGCTCACGTTTTTACGAGTTACCATAACGACACTGTCATATCATGAAAATTTCTGCATTGAATGTGGAAACACAGTCTCATGCGTTGACTAACTATTGGGAATGCGGAATGGCGTCGATGCCTCGCTTAGAATGAGGCGCTTGGCGCTACAAGGCTGAAGGTGTAAGGCGGCAGAGCTGTAGCTTGGAGTGGCTGCTGTTCCTGTTGATGTGGTTGGAGAAGAGAGGGCTGAGAGGATGGGAAACCCTTGTTCAGGCCCTAACCTTAACTTTATACTGGTGATTCAGCAGTAGGCATGCATTGAAGAGAGAGATGTTTGTTATCGCTACCGTACATTGGCAGCCTCGCAATATGCAACTGCTGGCCTTGGTTATACTGAACGCCATCTCTGTTATGATACTGTCCCTCAAAAACTCAATTGAAGAATCTCGATGATTATACTGTGTAGAAACCTGTGACATTCAAGTTTCAACGACTCGACTGATCAGCGGCTGATTCTTCAACACCAACTCAACAGTCTCGACTAACAAACCACTCCTCGATTCCCCAGACACTCACTCCATGGGGGCCATCAGCATCAGCAGCACCCAAAACCCCGCATATTGGGGCGAGACCAGCCTGTCAGTTGATGATCATGTCCATTTCCACTCAATCCTCCACCCTCAATAACACAAACCCTGGTCACTAGCTTGTCGGACCGGTAATACCACCTAGCGCCAAGTCTTGTTAGCAGAAGCACCGAGATCTGCACCGTTTCTCACGGCTACCGGCATCACCATATGGAGACCTCGAGCACTGAGCAGGGATAACTCTACTCGTGCGATCCCTTCATCTGTTTTCGAATCGGCGGTATTATGGAGTCGACTAATATATCTCTCCATCCTCCACATCCACGGGCTCTTGACAATCCCCGCGGGGGAGGGGGGGGATGAGCAACCGTTGGGCGAATACAAATGTCCGTTCATCACTGCGACCTTCCTAACGTTAGTCTAGTCTCTTTTGTCGGACCGTTGAATGCTTAACACGTCCCGCTAATGTTTGACTACAACCCCCGACTTGTATGACTGCATGCTTCTCCATGGGCACCCCATATCATCTCCAACATTTGTAGATTGGCTCTGCCTACTCCGTATGGAGTATGTACTTTACTGATAACGTTCCCATTCTGTGCGTATGCGGGGTTGGCCATGTAGCCTAGGAGAGGAGAGGGAAGAAGATACAGGACCTTGATCCTGAATGACAAAAAGATTCAAGTAACTTAGTACACGTTTAGGATATATTTTGCTGAGTTTATTTTGACACCCTATATCAAGGTCCGATGTTTTCTAAGACCGAGGCCATGTCACCGTAGGATCTAGGGAACTTACTCCGCTTACATGAAACGATCCTTCATTGCAACTTACTAGGCACTTGATGACAAGAAGGGCCATGATTCTCTGGGTCTATTGGTATTGAAGGATGCTGGAACACTCATAGGCAACCAGATCCCAACACTACACTTGGATGTTGGAACAAGTCATAAGTCGCGTTCAAATGTGCAACCAGCGAAACAGATTGAATGAATTGCATCGCTTTAAACTCCGTATCGTCTATCTGTTGCCCTGACCTCTTCCGCTGAATAATACACCACAAGAATGATAGACTAAAATTCGACATACGCTTTCCTCCCGACCCGAGCGACGACCTGGTTTGAACCCCTATACTTTCTTCCCGAGAACACTCTCAACGAGTAGAACTCTGTCGCCTCGTCTGTTTATATGGCGTGTGCTAGTCCTCTGGATTCGTGACCGTCATATCCTCGATTTTCCGTTCATGCTGATCCATTTGGTCTTCCGCCTCACTCATTTGCTTTGCCAGACTGTTGAGATCTGCCATTTTGGCACAACGGACAATCTTAAAGGACATTTGTTGTAGTTCCTATCGAGCACGTCGCTTGGATTGTTCGACCACTGCCTTGTACAATTCTCCGGTTATGCGGCGGCGCTCTTGATAATCCGACTCGCTAGTCTCGCTACCGCAGGACGTAGGCGCTGTAGTTTGATCATCACAGTCGTCGGAACCATCGCTATCGTCCTCATCAACCGCCCCGGATGACGAATCGACCATAGGCGATGTACGGACACCACGCTCACCACCATTCTCCTCAGAAGGCTCGCCGCTCGCAGGTGATTGGTCAACCTCTTTCCGATGTAGGCTGTAACTGGTGTAGTGGGATTTTAGGACTTCTTGCAGAGAGGTATTCTGGGGCTCTGCCTCTTCAGCTTCAACTGTCCCCTCAACAAATATACGACTTATGAGCTCTGTAAAGTCGACCAACCCGTCAGTGGTCACTTGTGCCACGATGCGTGATCCCCTAGGCCCAGGGTCTGTACCGCCCGGACCACGGATAGTAAAAAGGAAAGGTATCCTGCGTTTGAGACAGAGGTAGGACTTTATGCGAATCAGGACATGGGAAAATCTTAGACCTGAGTCCTCAAAAGGGACCATTCGTTCGGTAATGAATTCCCTCAAATCTTGTTGTGAAATGTGCCCGTGTCGAAGGCCGCTGCGGATCACGAACCTGATGTAGTCATCGTTTACTTCACCAGAGATATAGTAGCTGTGATATGGCGCGGAGTAAGGATCTTTGCCGAAGACAGCGCGAGTTCTTTCTACAGCGGCCTGCTCCTTGGCATCTGGTTCCCTGACGAACCACTCGCAGAGGAGTTTTTCTTGATCTTCAGGGGAAATGAGCTGTGATTGCAGTTGATGGTAAACCATTCGTCTGTGGTTCTGCATCTCTACCGGGATTGTTGGAGGTGATGGAGTAGGCCACATTTGTGAGGCCGGGCCGGGATGTGCTGGGCGTTGTAAAACACTGCCGTTTTGGGACGAAGTTGCAGCATTTTTGCTGCTCTCACTCGCGTTGGACATGTTTGCTGATGTAAGGGATGCAGTGTGTAACGAATGTTGATGAAGAAGATGAAGATGAAGTTGGAGAATGATGCTGATGTTGAGTTGGACTGTAGATGTATTGAGGAAAAGAACTGGGAAGAGGATTCATATTCGGCAGGCTCAGTCTCAACTCAGTAAACTTGCCCTGAATTATCCTAGCTACCTGCCTAAACTTATGAAGTCACCTAGGACTTTTTGTCATTTAGGATCAAGCACCCGAGCTTTCTTTCCTCCCTGGCTTACTCAAGGTAAGCAGGTAAAGCTACAACTGGCTCATAAAAGAAGGAACTGGACACATGATTGATGTTCGGCAGGCTCAGTCCATGAGGTGACCTTTGGGAACAGGAAAACACCAGACCTTGATATGAGGTATCAAAGTAACGTAATAAAGATATTGAGCTTAGCAAATGCATCCTAAAATTTTGCCAAGTTGCCTAAGTCTTGTTGTTACTTAGGGTTGAGGACCTGACTTTTCTCTTCTCTTCCACTTACCTACTAAGGTACTAGGTAGGGTGAGCAGCAACCTCTGCAGCGAGGGAAGCTTCATCCTATCTCATGGGTGTCGCTGATCTGACATCAAGAAGTAGGTAGGTGCCCTCAACCACGACGCATGGCAGTGGACCTTGCGAGCTTTCATAAAGTAACCTGCTCGATGTTTCTCTACTGGACATCTGTACAAAGTCAACCGCTGTGTGAGGACTCCACTAAGATTTCGAAGATAAAAAAAACCATAGATGCTCAAGGCTTTTGTGAAGCCCAGATATCACGATGCTTGGGCTACAGACTCAGAACTAATGACCAAATGTTTTGTTCCCAGACTTTACGCCATATCTTGCCCCTGATATAAAGCTCTTGATAAGCCATATATCGAGGTGCCATTTATTAAGACTAGCTAATTTCTTCGCTGGTCCGCAAGGCAATACTTGCAATAAAATTAGTTCCTGTGTGTTCCATCTGAACAGATCCATCTCCGCCGACTGCCAACATGTCTCTCATCTAATATATTAAGCGTCGAGATAAGAGTAAGAAAGGACAGTCTTCATGAAGCTCCCATTTTATTAGCACTCTTCTCGAGCGTGGCAGTCTGATAGGTCCTCTCATCCCCATAGTTCTCTTCCGCGTTATCACCCCTATTTAGTAGCCCTAGACTGATCCTCCTCCGACTTCGATAATCTCCAGAGCATTCGTTCAAAGCTAGTGTACCCCAACTGTCAATACTATCCTCTTTCGTCACTTCTCACATGGTGTAATACTCTCGAGGTTCCCTCGGCTCAGATCAAGATAGTAGCCTGTATGCTGGAGCCACCTGCCCTCGCCGCGTTCCTCCACAAGACGTTGTGTTTGGATGATCTCCAAGGCCATCAGAAGAACAACGAATGTCGTAGGAGTTACTTGGGAAGTTGGGGTACTCTGGAGATGCTGGTTGGGAGCAATTCCAAGCGAATATTGAGACGTTGTGCTTGGATGATCTCCAAGGTCATCGGAAGAACAACGCCTGCATTATTCTGAGCCGCAAGAAGGGCCTCCAGTTGAGAGAGCACCTCTTCGAAAAGTTTCCCAACCCCCTCGGACCTCTCGATAGGCTCTTGTTCAGGAAACTTGCAGGCTTTTGTAATCAAAGATATTATTTATGGCGTTGTAGAGTTCGATAAGGTTGAGGATTTCGCTCCAAAGACACTAGCACCCTCAAACTCAATTGCTTCATATGTTAGATCAATAAAGCCGATGGACTGCATTCCAAACTTACCTAAGAAGATCTTGAAGATCTTGCAACAGAGACTCAGTCTTCGGACGAGCATAATATACATCTGCTGGCAGAGGTCTTCCACAATACCGTAGTACTCCTCATGTTCTTTAGCCTGCAATAATATCGCGTGTTTTCAAGGCATTTGTTGTTCTTTCACTCTATATAAGGAGCGTTGTTTATTAGGGCATTTGGGAGAAAGGAAGCAGGTTTAAAGTACTGGTGATGGAATCGGAGCCAGGTTCTGAGCGAGCATCATGGCAGTGAGCATCGTAGTCAGGGGTGATGGTTCAAGAGACCCGTAAGGGTCGATGTTCGGCATGAATTCTGGTTGCGGACATGGATGGAAGATAAATCTGGTCTTGTTATTCCCTGTGTGAGACTCTGATACCAAGTCGTTGAGGACTTGTGGACCGATACCAGGGACTTCATCTTGTCCCAAGAATTGGCGGTGTACTTGTCGTCATGGAAGTTGTTAGGAGATGTTTAATACTCTTAGTTGTATAAGCCAGAAGTCGGCTCCTGTCTGCTTCGGACTTCTGTTCCGAACGCCTGGGCACTCAGGGCGCGGACCAGCCTTTGCAGTCATTTTATAAGCTCGTTCGACCAGTTTCTTCTCGAAGTTGGTGGCTCGGATCCCTCGAAACGAATAAGCTATGACTCGCTGCTACCAGCTTTGTCAACTGCAGGGCCGCGTGCAAGACTTCTCTTCCAGGAAGGGATAGGATAGATTCAAGGATGTACGCAGCGTGGGTCTGCCTGGCACATAACTTGATACAACACATGGTTGATGTTTGCAAGAGCGCCGGGGGAAGCGATGTATTGCTGCAAACTCATCTGCCCGGTTATACATTCTGGTTCCGCGATCAAAAGCCAAGGTATTCTTTGGTGACAGTTTCGTGCATATGGCCCGGCGACTTTGGCTGCCTACTTTCACACATCAAGGTTGTCCAAGATGGTTTTTTATCTTTCGAATCTGAGCGTTGAATGGTTCTTCCGCTCTCTATATATTCTGTCTGTTTTCGTTTACGAAGGTTGGTAGATATGTGTCGAACAAGAGTAAGGTGAGATTCTTGACTTTCGGGAGACGAGAAAAGATTGGCAGATCCTTTTCCATTCTCATCTCGAAGTATGTCCGAGGCATGGGAGGGTCAGATGGCCCAGGCTGGTCTGAAACAGTGGCCGGAACCATCACTCTGGTCGTCGGTGTCCGGAGCTAATTCCGTCAGCATGTCATTTCAACATCTCAATAAAGGAGAAATGGGGCATTCCTACGAGCTTCACCTCGGCGGAGCCAAACAGTTCGTGACATGGCGAAGGGCTCAAGCCTATGTAGCTCGAGGACTATGGATAAGTCGTGGTTGCAACTGGCCCATGTACTGATTGGTAGCTGAGACCATCGCGAATCCCTTGATCACAATCGCGATCGCAGAGTTGAAATTGCCTTAATCTCTATGTTTTATCCTTTGGTCAAGCCGTCGAGTAGTTTGTCGACCAGGATGTTTTGTTTATATAACGTGCATACAAATATTCGTGAGACTGCAAGGCTGGCTGTCAAAGATTGTATGCAGCCTTCTTCAGCTCTGTCTCCCCGTCCCCAGAAAATCCGAATGCGATGGATTGCGGATCGGCTCCTCGTCGTCTTTCTTGGTTATGCTATGGGGGAAGAACTTCCAAATACCACACAGGAAAGCAGCAACAATCAGAATAGAAAACAACACTTCGGCGCCATCTGGCATCTTGAAGGTAATGGTCAAAGCCATGATATATAGTTGCGCTCCAGTGAGGAATGAACTTGTTGAGAGATCCATCACTCATGAACCAAGTTACCAACTAATGGTACGGCGCGGCCGGGCAAGTTTACGAACCTATTTGACCGTCTGTTCAGAGGAGTCAGTCCGTCGGGAATCATCTTGTACTCGGTGTAACTTCTTTTCTGGATGTGAGTAACGGCTTTAGTATTATTGTGTTAGGTAATATATATGCAAAGCCTGATTCAACGATAAAAAATGCCCAAGTGGTTTTTCATCTTTTTGATCTATTCCTTGAACTTGACCTCACGAGCTGACACCCATGAGTGCTGTCGCAGCTAGCAACGCGAGGGGAATCAGGGGCAATTTCAGCATTGCGATTCTATTCGCTTTTGGATGTAGGCTGGGTGGCAGCATGCAGCTCGACTCTTGATGCGGGAGGCAGCGACTCCCTCCTCTGTGTTCGTCTAATGGAGGAGGCTGAATAAGAAAATGCCTGCGATGTCTTCTGTAAACTCCATTGTCGCGTCTTCATGTCGAAGTATTTCTTGACGCACGAGACACCAAAGATGTTTCAAAGACCCGTCGTCGGGCGAGAGCATATTGCACACTAATGGTACGAAGTATATGTCCAAATAAGAACGCCTATATAGTATATAGCCCAGCAAGTTTGGTGAGACTTGTCGTTACCAGCCGGCCCTAGTTGTTGAGAGGACGCGGGTTGTTGTTGTTCCTATAAACAATGAAAGGGTGGTGCTTTAGAGTCCCACGACAAAATCTGTGGTGAGATTGGTTTTCAGATGAGCTTTCCAACAGAAGTTCGATACAAACTGTTATAAGCCCCCTTACGGTAAACCCCGTGGTCGATGGGACTAGACATTGGTGGGAGTACATATCGCTTGATTTCGGCCTTGACCTCCACGGGGAGTCGAGAAAACAATAGTCCATCTTGACTGTTTGCGCTTGCGTATATTAGGACTGAGCTTTACAAATCAACTGTTGAGTTGGGATCCTCTGGTAGATGAATGTTTGGATGCGAAGAGAGCGAAGTTTGGAAGAAAGAAGATAGTTTGGATGATGGCAGATATCGTCCACCATAATGTGACAGTCTTCCTGCTCTTTGAAGAGGTGCCGGATCTTGTTCTTCATGCCAATGGCTAGTTTGATGCTACGAGGAAATCTTCGCTTCAAATCCTTCAGCAGGGTCTTGGTGGTTTTGTCGATTTGTACACGGCGAGCGTAGATTTTGCCAATCTCTGCGAATGCCGCCGTGACTAGATCAGGTAGAAGTTCCTGCCGTGTGCCTCTCTCGGCTTTTGCAGGTGTTTGAGAATCTCTCTAATATAACGTCAGGGTCCGGATCCCGAGTGCCTCGAGCATCGCTAGGATCATACTACGTCGTCAAGGTCAGTATCGGCACAATAAGGAATGATGTGACCTTTTGCAACCTACAGGTTGGGCGGTTGAGCTCAATATCTGGGTTGGAAAGGGCAAGCTAGGGTGGGTAAAACTTACGCGCCGGTGATGGGGTGATCCACATAGATCGGGCACTGCTCTCCCTGGATATGGGGGTTATAACTTCTGAAGAAGAGGAGATCAGGCTGAAGAGAAGACGTATAGGGATAGAGAGAGCACTGTACACAATATAGCAGTACTTGGACCGGGTTGATGGGATCAACCGGAAAGGAGTCCAGGAGGTCTGAGCCGGTCCTATAGAATGCCAACTGGAGACCCTTCCTTCGACTGTGATGCCAAATCTTGGCATCCTGGGAGTTGACCAGCTTCGTCAACCCTAATAATCTGAGCCATGGCGAGAGGCGCCTAATCCCGTACGTCAAATTTCAGTCGAAGGGGGACGCTGACATCCTCATGACCATCACTGTTGAAGCTGCGAGAAGTCCTTCAGATTGAGGACGAACTTTCATAAAGTCTCTTCTTCTTTGCGTGGTCAGACATATCTTATGTATTCCCCTAACCACAAGTTAGGTGTTTCCGTGTTAAGTTCCGGGCAAAGCCTCTAAGCTGTATTCATATCGGAACATGGACCAGCGGAGACTTTAGGCTAGGCCTTTCTCATGAGACAGAGTTTACGTTCTGTAAATAATGGTTATGGTCGAGGCTAGGGGTAGCTGGGTGCCTTCGCCTTGGCCGCCTCGAGCTGCATCTTGAGCTTCTCATTCAGCTCCAGCTGTTTGGTGAGCTCCTCCTCCGCAGAGCGCCAGAAGTCGAAGAGCACTTCTGACGCTCCTCCGCCAGCGCAAGGTTCTTCTTCAAGTCGTCGTTTTCGATGGCAAGCTTCCCGTTATTCTCCTGGAGGTGGTTGAAGACATCACTGGCGAATTTGTTCTCGGTCTCAATCTGCTCGATATGTTCCTCCTTTGACCATGTTCAATCCTGAAATCTGAAAGCCACATTGGAGTGACGGCTTTTGGAGAGGAAACCTTCCATCCCCATCCTTCTTAGGCTTGCTCAATAAATTAACCCATGTGACCAGGAAACCCATTTTGTTGACTTCAAGCTCCTCCAGCCAGGACAGGAGGCTAAAATCAACTGCCTTGGTGGCAGTCCAGAGCTGGAAACCGATCCATTGGCCGCCGAGGAAGATATGTTCTCGTATATAGCTATATTGACCATGCATGCCTAGTCTATTGGCTTTGAGTGCGGAATCAAGACCGGGAAAGGCGCGTAGGAAGTTGTATACCACAGGTTTGCCTTGGAATGACGTGGTGTAAGGCCAGAACCGTCCAGCTATGGGAGTCATGTGGAAGTCGACGTGTCAAAATCACCATGCTCATCACCTGTTGACACTCGCACGTATATATATAGGCACGCAAGGTTGCCCTCAAATTGTTCAATTGTTCTGTGCAGAAGAGATGTGCGACGAGATATGTGTGTCGAGAGATTTTGTTGATACTGCCACTGTCTTGATGGTTTGGTAAATGTGATGGATGATTTTGGTTTCGTTGATGTTTTGGTTGATGTGTTGATGTAGAGTACGATGGAAGAACAGATAAATGGCCAAGATGCATGTTGTGAATTATATACAACAGAGAAACATACAAAATCGAGAATGTTTCGGTGCTCCTTGATCCTTCTCTCTTTTCCGATTGGCTCTGCTGGCTTGCTGGCTTTGCAGAGTAGGTTGAAATAAGAAATCGGTTTAATTTATGCTATATGGTAGGCAGGCTGACAGAGGAAAACTCATTGCGGACTGCCAATCGGAAGCGGCCGTAAATGCAGTTATTAGTATGATAGACGCCAAATCCAGCCCCTTGGGCCTTTGGAGATGATCAGATGAAGTCCAAAGTATGGAGTGATGCTCCAAGTAGTCCTCGTCGGTAGTATGAATGCCACCGCAACGGGCCAACCTACCAAACATGATTGTCTCTCTGGCCTTTCGAGCTTGAATCAACAGCATGAACGGTTGTTATAATAAGCTCCAGTGCTAAGATAGGTTGAGATTGACGGCTTGGGGTGTCATAATGTAAGATCAGTTGTCTGTACAGCTTGAGAGTCCAAGTTTATCTCTCTTCGCCAATGGCAAAGCCATGTGGGAGAACAGGGTTGATCGATATTTCTATCTCCTCAGATAGGCGACTCATGCTTGAGGGGAGGGGGTTGTACAAATAGAGCTTGTTTCTCCTGGAAATGGGTGCAGGTATCGCGGGTGAACTTTCAATCTATTGAGGTTTGTCGATGTGGAAGACACGGAATAATATAGATAGCGGTAGAATGGTTCCTGAAGATACTATAATTGGGAATAGCCTAGGCTGGCCTGCTCTTGGCCGTATTCGTGTACCCAGGCAATGTTTGAGTACAAGTACCGGAATGGTACAGTCACAGAGGGAAGCGCGTGTAGCACTACCTTCTTTCGCATCTCCGTCGGGAGACATGTCTGGATTGCTGAGGTAGTCCCAGCCATTTACAAATCTCCATGGAGTTCTGGTGTCTGCCTGAATTCCACGGTTCAGAAAGTGGTTTTGAGCGGCGACTGAGTGTTCACCCGCGCGTCACATCGAGACAAAGGTGTCGAGATCGGTTCGCTAGTGATGTCCTGGTCTCAGTCTTTGCTGAGGGAGCATTATATAAAGTATAGATCTTAGATGTAACTCAGTTGAGAGCTACCTTAGGCTTGACCAATCTCTCAATTGCTCTGCGATCGTGTGCAGTATATAGTGGCAGGGAGAATGCCGACAGACATGATAAGATCAGTGACCAGCATCAGGGTTTGTCGGGAGGTAAGAACTCTTCAAACAGCGAAATGAGAGGCTTTCTGATAGGTTTGTCGATGAGGTATTGAATCGCAAAGGTTTCCGTTCAGTTGGTGGTAGGTAAGGAGTGCCTTCACAGTGGCCTAAGCGCGAAGTGGGGAACCTGGTGGTGATTGATTGTGGGAACTCTTTTCCCGACCTGTGCTGGCTGGGTTGGCAGTGGTTTTATACTGACATAGGAATCTATGAGAAGCTTGAGATTCCCTTTTCGTCTGTTTGGCCATTAGCCCCATATCTCGTCAGGCTTTTGGGTCATGAGCTGGTTTCCACGGTGCTCGTGTGTGAGACGGTGTCAATGTCTATAGACTCGTGACACGAAAACCGACCGTTGGTTCCTATGCTATCAGATCGACCATCATGGCTCTCGGTTGAAGTTCACGAGCCACTTTGAGGTATAGGCCTCATGGAGTATAAGAACTCAGGTGCTATACTATAAATCATGAAAAGATTTGGGTAAGGCTATATGAAACTTAGACGGTCTTGAGAACACTCATTTTTGACACTCGAAGATAAGCGAGATGCTTTTGTGAGATAGATACTTTGTATTGCGCCCGTTAGATATCGAGCAAGGCCAGTGAGTCGTGGTGGAATTTTGTTTGGCACGGAGTAGGATGTGTATACACCATAGCGTATGGACAGATGAAGAAGTGCTGGTTGAAACACTCATGCTTCAACTTGAGATGATCTTTTTTGATAAGGAAATTAGCAGGAAGATACATGTCAAACATGCTGGGTAATGTTATCGTGTTATGGCTCGTGGTTATGTATGATCGCCTCGAGGGCGATGAAGAGCTTTCCCAAGGAAACGTCCATTAACGGGTCGATACAGTATCGATCAGCGAAGATGCAGACCTTGGCATGGTGAAGCAGTGTGTCTTCACCGATGTTGCTTAGGTACTCCCTGGGATAGGTACTCCTTGGGGTGTTGAATGACCACTCCTCGTAATTGAAACCGAAGGTCATTGACAATGAGATCCAGGGTTCCAGTTCTATATATAGAGTCAAACCCGAACCGCACATGGATAGTGAATTCGATATTTCTTGCTGTCTAGCTGGCAGTCAGACACATATCGTGTCTGCTGGCAATCGGCCAATGCTTGGTGGTTTGTCCCCACGAGTTTATGCCCCGGGTGGAATATAGGGAAAATTATCTCTAGTCGAACAGGGAACTGCTTACCCAGTTTGATCCTGGGTAGATTCTGTCGGAAAGTCTGACAGAGTGGAATGCACTGGTTGTCATTCGGCAAGATTCCCTCGAGCCACTTTTCGAAAGTAGCATCGTTGTCCTCAGGTATATCACAACGAGTTTCAGATTGCTCATCATCATAGAAGAGGAAGAAGTGCATCTCGTGGCTGGATCTGGAAAGATCAGTTGACCCTGGGGATGTAGTCACCCCAACAGAAGGCATTTGGTATCTGTATATATATTGCTTTCTGGTAACTGGGAGTCGAAGGTGATCTTTCCCGTTTCTTGGTCATCGTTGTGGGTAACCAGGAGACTGACCTGGAAGTTCTTGTGTTAGTGGCAGTGCTATCAGTAGGGGAGGAGTTGTCAACTTACGAGGTAAAATTCAGGCCGCCAAGTGGTACTCGGTCGCTCCTGGGCTTGCGCCAGGCTCAGCATGATACAGACCAGATATGGAGTACCTTATCTCATTGAGACATCTTGGTCTTTATCGCTAATCAAGCCCCTACAGTCGAGCAGGCTCGTTGGTGAGTTCATGGATCTCGGCCTCGTATCGCTTCCAAGATTTGAACATCTAGAAGACGGTGCCAGCGATGACGTTGTTACCGAACTTGCTGTCGTGGATGTGATGGTTGGCGATTACATCAAAGTAATGCATAGCTTGCCATTTGGCCTCTTTTTGATCATTACACACTCCGTCTCATCATCCGCCTCATCCTCAACCTCACCCTCGTCCTGATCCACATCATCGGCACGGCTGGCCCGCCGATGCTCTGATATATATATATATAT